CAAAGCGACAAAATTAAGTCCTTATAGGACCTGATTGCGTGGCCCGGCACAAGGGGTTCGAAACATGGCTTCCCTATTTTAATTTGGCATTCTAATTCCTTGTTTAGTTGATTTTATTTTTTAGAATTTAGTTTAGATTAGTTGCATGATGTATTTAAGCTTTGGGATATAGTCTATGAAAGTGTAATTCATGAGCTAGTCTTGCTTTATATGTAATTGCCCCATACAGGATTGGTATTTGAGTTTATTTACAGTGGTTATACAAGGCTAGAAATGTTTGTAATTGTTATGTAAAAGGATTGTAACTTATTCACTTAGCTTGGTTTTTAACAAGTGGCTTGTTGAAGGTGTCCATTTTGCCTTGTTTTTTGGCTTGGAAATTTGCTCTAGCCTTTGTATCCACTTTCACTCATAACTTTTAGACTTGGAGTTGGGATCGATAGAACTGTAGAAGTGCATCCCGTGTTGAACAGGTACAGCCTATTGTCTTTACGACCACCGCCATTTGTCTTGTTTATAGATCTTGAAAACACAATGTGAGGGAGAGTATGTGATGCAACAGGTACAACCTATTGTCTTTACGACCACCGCCAATTATCTTATTTCTAGATCTTGAAAACACAATGTGAGGGATAGTATGTGATGTTGCAGTTTAGTTTTTTTTGTTAGACTGCTAACAGAGAGAAGATTAGAAGGAAATGAAGGCAAACATACTAGAGAGGGTAGGGACAAGGATTATGAAAGTTTATATGTTTCACTCCCATAGGCACTAGACATGGATCCATAAGCAAGTTTAACTTCACTAGAAGCAGAAGAAAAGGGCTAGAAACGAACTTTCTTACTGATCATCTGATTAGTAGCCCTGGAATCAATGATCTAGGATATAAAGGAGGTGGAGTTGGAGGCATAGTTTGCAGTTGCATATGTATCTGGATGCCCTACCAGTTTCTTAGAGCTGAGTGAGTCCTTGAGAGCAATCAACTGGTGTTGATCTTTGATGGCCTAATCTCTTGGATCGAATACATTGATTTATGACATTTTTCTTCTCTCTCGAACGCGAGACCCTAAATTTTTTCATGGTACTAATCCCTTAGTTTCAAAGTTTACAAAGACCCATTTTTTTGGTTTGTTTGGGCAAAGAAAGGTATGGAGTATATTATGTAGTTTGTGTGGAGTAAAAAAAAAAAAGCTATAGGGTTTTTTTTGCTGGATATAGAAAGAGTTTAGGACAGAACTTACTTATTGGTAAAAGAAAAGTGAGATGATCTTGCTGGGAATATGAGGTTGCTAGAAATGAGATGATTTTGGTGGAAATGTTGTACTTGAGGTTGGTAAAGGAAAGTGAGATGATCTTCCTAAGGAAATTTATACTTGAGGTTGGTAAAGGAAAATGAGATGATTTTGCTGGAAATGAGTTTGCTGATACACTTCAACTTCAAGCCCGAGAAGAAGGAAAAAATCTTGATTCTAGGGTGTTGAAAGTGATAGATATCCTAGGGTTTCAAGCCTTGCTCTAATACCATGTTAAGATTGAGCGAGAAAGAGAGAGAGGGAGAGAGTAATATTCAAGCACAATATAAGATACTACAGATGTATTTTTACTCGTATACAAATAGTGAGGCAATTTGCTCTATATATATATACCCATAGATCCCTATGGGATTGTTATGATATAGATAGGTCAACATGCATAGGAGTTACAATTGTTATGCGTAACTGTTACAACAGGAATCACCCGAATATGGTAACTGTTACAGCAGGAAGATTTCCCCAATATGATAGCTATTACAGCAGGAAAATATTGAAATATCGTAGAGTATTATACACATTATCACCACATGCATGTTTCTACAATATGCACAAGGCCCATACCAGCCCATAACAGTCACTACAATTATTATTATTATATTTGATAGATAATAGAGTCAATTACTTAGTGAGAGGTGTACATCAAGTTGCATAGACAAAACACAGATTTGTACAGGGAGAAAGGAGAAGGTGGCGGAGGGAAGGGAAGACAGATAGAAAGAAGGAGTGCCCCCACCCCCGGGGGTGGGGGGGGGAGGTTCTGTGTGTTGAAAAGTCAAGGAAGTTATCTAGATAAGTAGATAACCCTTTGCATGTGTCAACCAATTATTTTTTTTTTAACCAATAGTTCACTGGGGCTAATGCATATCTTGGGCTCTTATCTATGTTCTTATCAATCCTTCTTACTCATTCTTGATTTACAGTTATGTAATCTTGTCAAAACATTACTAATTGAGACGAATACCATTGGTTAATTGTATGTAATGCACATGTTTAGGTTTCAGTTTGATTCTTATTGCAATTCATCTTTCTCCAAATCAGCAAGCAAATTGAATTAATCACCTATACTAGCAATTACCTTTATGAAGTGATGCTTTAAATCCTAACAGATACCAAATATGCTGGGGTAATAAAAGATCTGCACGCCGCATTCTTCTCCATTTGCCTTGTCTTGTGTTTTGTGTAGTTCCTTCCTGGACTTCTTTGGTGTTAGTTAATTTATACTTAATTTAGTCTTTGCAGTTGTGGATTCTTTGCTTCATTGCCACTATTTGGTATTTCTATAACAGGTCGAATAATAAAGTATTTACTGGATCATGGTCCTAATTTTTTTCATCATGCTTCTACCTCCCTGTTTTGGTCTTGGAAGATTGGGGACACTAGCCACCATTGATTAGACTTGGGGGCAAGTTGCGCATAGTTATTTCTGGAAGATTAAGTGAAGTGGTGTGCTTGCGAACTGTCTCAGTTAGCAGCCCCTTGAATCGAATTTTAGTTACAGTTCTCCTGGAAACCCTAGCATAATGGGGGGGGGTTTGAGCCATTTCTGCAGTTAAGTATGGCAATGTGCAGAATTGTTTTTCAGGTCCTGCTGAGACCTGTAGTTTTTACTATGGTGGAAGCAATAGCCCTTTTAACTGCAGTTACTTTGTTTTTCAGGTTTCTTTAAAGCTAATTATAATGGAATGTTGTTTGCCTAAAATTATGAGAATGAGACAGCTTGATAGGGGCTTGCTTCTCTTGGGATATCTGTGCATTATACCTTAATCATGCTGCCGGAGTCGTCTTTCACCTTGTTCTTTGAATTTGAATACCCTTTTGTTTAAGCACACCACCATTGTAGTCCTCATACAAAACAATCACAACTGGGTTAACACAAGCACTAAAAGATGGGTGGGTGTTAATATTTGATTAGACCTTCCAACATTTATTTTCTCTCTGTTTTTATATAACAGTTTAAAAGTTTCAAAAAAAAAAAACCGCTTCTTTTCTATCTGTGATTAGACCTTCTGATATTATCATATCAGCTTCAAAAAATTCATATTGTAGTTTACTTTCTGTCATGAATTATAATTTCTGTTTGAATATGTTACAGGTAAGCCAATCGCTCAATGGAAATTAACATAATTACAATAGGTTTAACATAAACTCTATGGTAATGAATGGATATACAATGTTTGGTTTGACATTCTAACTATTCTTAAATCTTTCTTAATCATGGGGACCTTATCCTTTGTGAAGTTAACTTTGGAGTAATGCAACTTCTCATTCAAGCTATTCTCCGGCCATTCCTCAAGAATGGGATGCTTGTGTTCATGTTACTAACTAGAGGTATTTATCATGGGACTAATTCAGGCATCTTGGTAGGCATAGCTTACCATTTCCAAAACTCAACCTGAGTTCACAAGTCACTGTATCAGGTTGATTAGTGAGCTGACCTGGTTTACTCAACCAGGTTATAAACAGAAGAAAAAACTCTACAGGCCTTTGATGGCCTAGAATGGCCTAGAAGAAACCAAATATCTGATAGGGTTTTGATTCGACCTGATGTTTATGACCCTATTTTTGTCTGGGTTGAGCTGACCCTACTGGGTCTTACAAGACCCTCCATATTGTGTCTGCAAGCTATGTTGGTGGTAGGTGCACAAATCCAAAGACTGTAAAAGTTAATGAAATGGAGGTGCAAACATTGCCTTCAAGCTTGAATTCTAATTTATTGAGAATGCCAGTATCTAGAATTATTTGATGGATTTGCTCAACTGTAATCTTGAGTCTATGCGATTGGGGGTTATTGTTACATGTACCATTGCATTTGGTGGGAAAGGAAATGTACCTGTGGTTGGATGTCAAACCATTTGTAAGAACGTACCTGTGGTTGGATGTCAAACCATTTGTAAGATGGAATTACTATCGGTCTTAAGGGTTTTGATTTGTGTAGGTTGTTACCCATTTATAGTTATTCTCCTTTTCTCGGAACATTGATTTATTTTGTATCTCTTACCTATCAAAAGAGAAGGCTTTCCTAAACTAGTTTAGAACGTAAAATTCAATTATGACATTCTTTAAATTTTTTGTCAATCCCCAACTGGGTTTGGGTAATGAAATCACATCAGGAAAGTTGAACAATAACCGTGAAATTCATCTTAGATGTCACCAGCTTGAGATGGTACTAGTAGTTTTACCTTCCTTATGAAGGTGAGTTTTTATGACTTATGAGGCAGGGATTATACTTAGATAGTGAGCACAATTCAATTAGATTGGTTCTGAATAAGCATGGTCTTTGTTTCAGATGTGAAAGTTTCTTTTTATCTGTTTGTCTTCCTCTTAATGAAGAAGCTTGTACCTTGTGTTTTCCTGATTCTTGTATGATGTCCTTCGTTGTATGTCAATTGATTGTGAATATCATGATACTTCTGTGTCAATTAATTGTCAACAAATTTGCCATATCGAATTATTGTCAACAACTTCTGTGAAAGTTGTTTTTTTATCTGTTTGTCCTCCTCTTGATGAAGAAGCTTGTACCTTGTGTTTTCCTGATTCTTGTATGATGTCCTTTGTTGTATGTGAATTGATTGTGAATATCATAATACTTCTGTGTCAATTAATTGTCAACAAGTTTGCTATATTGAATAATGTTTCCTCTATACTTACTTTTAAGTTTATGCCATAGATTGTATTCCTGTTTGTTGCAGGTATATGGAGATGAGGAATGGTCCTTTGGATTTTGTGAAAATGGCAGTGGAGTATTTAGTTGCCCCCCATGTAAAAATCCTATGTACGCATATCGTGAAAGCATTGCCCTTGGTGAAACAGGGTTTTCAATCTCCAAGGTCAACCAGATACTGAGGGAGCTTAGTAGGGAATGGCCTGGAAATTCCTACGACCTTTTGTCTAGAAACTGCAATCACTTCTGTGATCAATTATGTGAGAGGCTCGGTGTACCTAAACTTCCTGGTAATTTGCATTTTTGGATATCAAATAATGTATGCTATAACTTCTACAGCTGAGAAATTGTTTATATGTTTCATGTTCTTGTTACATAGTTTCGTGCATATTTTTTCTCCAATGATAATATTTTAATAAACAGAATGTCAATTTGGCATGTGGTTCTCTTTTTGTCTTTCTGAAATTTTCTATGATTTATATTCATTTAAATGACTCTGAAGTTACAGATTTTTTAACTTCTATGGGATAATCTTCAAAAAGAAAATTACAAGCAAAAGAAGTTACAAAAAGTAACTTTTGTGGGAAATAAGGTTCCACTTGTTGGCCCAAACGACAACTTCCCATAGTAATCTTCTTCCATGCTGCAAATTTTACCGGAAAGGCAGAAGGGGAGATTGGAGCTTGATAGAAGTGGGTAGACAAAGAGAATGCTGGTGCAGATGATGGCTTGGCTTTTGGGAGATAAATGTAGAGAAGAGGGACTTGAAGAAGAGCAAAAGGATTTGAAATTAAATTACAACTATAAAATTGTGAAGTTTGGACAACTTCTGAGGACTATGGGGTGGCTGGTCGATGGATCACATCATGGTTTCCTACTTCTGAGAGTTCTATAATTTTGTATCGTATTGTTTGTGCATGTATAGTCACTTTTTTTATGCTCTTCTTTTATTCATGGATAGGAAAATGATTCTTTATGCATAGTTATTATATGCTTTGCTTTTCATTTAAATTTTTAATGCTTGGTTATTTCCATAGGAATCTAGTTTCTAATGTTCTGAATGTGTTGGAAGTTTCTAAAGTAGGTGGGGGCCAGGATTTCTAGATGAATTGACTCACCTTTATTAACATGGTATGTATGCTATTGCCACCTCGTATATGCTCATGATGGGATATATCTTCTGAAGGTCTGATTTTCGGTTTTGTATCAAACCTAGATCTGAATAGTTTTCTCTCCAGTTGGAAAGATTTTCGGATGTCTACCCAAAAAAAAAAAGATTTTCGGATGTACCTTTTCATTTGTGTTGTCAGGCAAGAAAACTTTGCCTGAGACACATTTCTGCGTGGTATTTTTTTTGTTTATCGTTGACTGTAAAACAGCGTATGGGTGTGCGTCATTCTAGTTTACAAGTATTTTGGGGGTTGTATGAAAATTGAGACTAAATGTGAAGTTGTGCTTGTCTATGTGTTCAAGTCCTATGGCTTGTTTATGTGTTTCACTTCCTGGAAAATTTGTGTGCATGGATATGTCAGAATCGCAACACTGGTAATATTTGAAAGTCATTCTAGGCTGTCACCTGTGCTCTCCAGTGGTCATCTTGGACCAGCATAATGGTTTATGCCTTAAGGTGATATCAGATTAAGACAGAGGGACGCCGTGAATTTGAAGGTGATGTCGGATTGTTGATATTGTCATTCATGGCAGAGGCGACATCTTGAACTTGTTTGGAGCATTTGACCTGTTTAACTCCCTAATTGCTGGATCCAATAGAAAAGGAAATTCAAGTACGTCCCATATGTGCAATTAGAATAACTTTTTATCATGGTCTTACTTTATCAGTCATGGCTTTACGGATGGGAAAATGACATTGCTATTGATTATTTTGTATCACTTATGGAGAGTAGGATGTCAAACTTTCTTATTACTTCATGGCTTTGGAGATCCATGGAGCCCCATATTAGTGACTTGGGTGACTAGGAGACTGACTTCGATGGTAAACCTTCTTTTCTTTTTTTTTCTTTTGGAAAGGCAGTACACATGGCATTGGCATCAACTATATGCAGTTATGGCCTCAGCTCCTCTTATAGACAACAGAATTAGGATACCTTGTCCCCTTAAAATGCATTGTTGTAGCTAGGTTGTGATGCACATTTCTGTGTGCCTGTTTCCCTTTGGAGAGGAGCAAACATACAGTAGTGTATTGTCATTCAGTTAAAGAAATGTTGGTTGTTGACTAATCAAGGTGTTGTACACTGGATTTCACAAATTTGATTGGCCGATGTGCTTATCATCATATAAAAGGTGAAAGGATGCTTAACAAAAAGGTTGAGTTGGAAGAACTTTTATAAAGTTCGATTGTTTGAACCATTTTCAACCACGTTTGAGATATTAGTGGTTTGAATTGTCGAAATTCTATTCCTTAATGGTGTTTACTTTGTTATATTTATTAGGCCTGTCCCTATAAATGGCATTTTAATCTTTTCTTCTATTGGATTGGTAAATAGTATTTATAAAAATGTTTGATTATGTGGATGATGATTTGTTCTTTTCTCAAGTCCCTTGCATTCTTTGACCGTTGGATCAGCATATGGATCCTTAAATCATATCAAGGTGTTCTTAGCTTTGTTGATTTGGTGGTTATAGGTCAATCAAGTCAAGGTTGCATTGATCTTGTGCCTCTCTTTTAACAATCTATTTGTCTGGGGTGTTTTTTTCGGTTTACGCCGGGGCCTAGCCTTATGTAGCTTTATTGGATTAAAAGGAAACATTTGTGGGCATTACTCTAGCTTCCGGTTTTTATTGCAATTAGGAAATACTAGGGACTTCTTTAGCTTGGAGCACCAGTTCAAGCCTTGGATTAGTTGATTCTTGCATGTAGTGCTGAACTTTATTTTGTTTCGGTCATTCTTTGTCAATATTTTGAGCTGTTCTTAACTTTTCAAGATCAAAAGCATGCTGATTAGGAGTTTGGTCCTCTACACTCACCTGACCATTAGCCTTTGAGAGTAGCCAAGGGTCTCTTGCTGACACAAGGTGTTCAAATGTTAGAAATATTGCAAATGGAGTAAGAGAGGTGTTGAGCTTAGGTTTAGGAGCGGGGGGCAATGGAGATGCAGAGTGAGGGAGAATAAGGAAACCTATTAGTCCTATAAGGATTTATTTATTTGGAGAAGGCAAATCTGTGTCCTAGAGGAGAATTGAGCAAATGGAAGCAGAAGCACATATATTGGAGATCAGAAAGAAGGTGAGCTGGGGGTAAAATGAGGGAAACTTTGAGGAGAAAGGAGGATCAAGGAGTGCAAATAGCAATGTGGATGGGAAGAACTTTGCCGGGATCATTAAGATCTAAGTTTTTTTTTTTGGGGTAAAATTATATTTGTAAGGTGATTGAAACTTTGAAATGAATGAAGCCAACTTGGACACTTCTTCTATCTAAGTTCTAAATATTGAAGACATGGATAATAGACAATGGGAAGTTTGGTTGTAGCACCACTTGACCCTCAGCTACCGGTCTAGGTTTCCATTCCCACTGATGCATTCGAAAACCGTTAATTGTTTCTAAAAACGGGTAGGGGCCTGTTATTCCCCACTGATCTACCCAAGAAAAAGTGTGGAATGATCGTGTTGCTCGGGATTTTGGAGGAGAACCAAATTCTCTTCCAATATGGGAAGGGGTAAAAGTATGCTGGTTTTGATTCTGAGACGGTTTGGAGATGATATAAGAACAGGTTAGGGAGTTAGGTTGGTTGGAGGGAAGTTTCTAAAAGTGCGGAAGAAGAGTAGAAATGGCAAGTTTGGTAACATATGTATGTTTGATTTATGATTTTGTAGTATTTTTTTTAGTATGTGATATATTTTATTCCTTGGTTGTTTATTGTGAGGGTGGCTATTTTGGTTTCTGATCTGGGTCCGGTCAACTATGACTGCAACTATATTTTGCATATGTTCTCTTTGTGTGCATCTTAAGTATAGACATGCCCATCAAGTTCATATCTTCATGTTTATATGCACCCACATACAAATTATACGTGTCTATGCATATATGCACAGCCACCCTGAGTGCATGTGTTTGCAGAGACAAATTTGTGTGCATAATGCATAAATGTATTTTGAACATGTGCACGCATGCGCATGTGCTTTTATGCATGAAAATTTTTTTTGGTAAAAAATACCCCTTCATATTTCTTAAAAAGATAATTTAAGAAAAAGTCTATCGTCTTTCTCTTTCCTCCCATTACAAATCCACATCTTTCCCTCATCTTCTATCTCACTTCCCTCTCTCTCCCGCCATCTCCACCCTTAACTCTCTCTTCATCTCCGTCCTCTCTCTCTATCTCTGGCCCTCCCTCTCTCTCTCTCTCTCTCTCTCTCCATCTCTGGCTCTGTCTCTCTCTTTCTCCATCTGTTCATGAAGTACTTCATCAAATTTAGCAAGAAGAAAAAAATCCTTAAATCTTGTATTAATGTTCACGAAGTGCTCTTTCTGATTCCTTTTTCTCAAGAGGGTTTCATCACAAGTCTGTTGTACTTGAACCTGAGAGTTGAAGTTAGAATTGGGTGCTCTGATCTTTTTCAAAAAAAAAAGAAACAAATAACCACCCAAAAGGTAAAATCCAAACTTCCTGGTACTAACCATTACTAACCATTACTTAGTAATCAGAGAGAGAAAACCATTGAATTCAAACTGTTATTCTAATGAATGAGATAGAAACTGTGGAGAAGAAGAAACCAGAGGGCCCATCAGATGTCTACAAAACTTTTTCTTGTGCTTAAATGCTAGGGCTTTGTTTCTTTCCGCCCAGCAAGCTTGATTCACTTCTGGTTTTTTTAGCACTAGCCATATGAGCAGGCTCAAGCTCAATCCAGCAAACCCAAACCCCTGAAGCAGCGAGCATACTGAATCTCTCCATGAGCGAGGCCTTTTGTTGAGTCCACCAAAACAAATCCTCTTCATGCCTCTGCAAGTCTTTTTGTTAGTCCCTCTGGTTATCTTCATCAATCTTGTATTCGATCTCACCTCAACTTTTTACCCACTTCAATGTTGAGCTACCTCTGTCACTGTTGCCATTTCTTCATCTGCTACCAGGCCGTGCACACACACACACACACACACACACACACACACACACACACACAGAGAAGGAGGGAGGGTAGTTACTTTTTTTCTTCGATTATCATCTTAAGAATAAAAGGTTATTTTCTTGTTTGTGGGGTTTTTGGAGGGAGAGCGTAGGATTGGGGGATTTATGTTTGCTCCCAAAGCTTCTTTTTGCTTTGTTTTGTTTTTTTTTGGGTGCGGCGCAGGGGTTTGCTTCTAGCAAAATTTTCAGCTTTGGGTCATCATCATCATCATGGCCTTTTCCCATCTATTTGGGTCTGCTACATGAATCACGGTCTGTCATTCTGTTCTATTAAGGGTCATATGCTCAGTAAGGCCATAAGTCCTCACTACTTCTAACCATGTCCTTTTGGGCCTACCCGTTGCCTTTTTTGTGCCTTCCACTTGAACTAACTTGTACCTCCAAACAGGTGTTGTACTGGGTTTGCTGCACATGATCAGCCCACCTAAGTTTACTTTCTCTCATCTTATCACCAATTGGAGCTATACCTATGTTCTTCAGGTTATATTCATTTCAAATTCTATCCCTTCTTGCCTTGACTCTCATCCATCTCAACATCCTCATCTCAGTGATACTCATCCTATGTGTATATTGTTTCTTAACCGCCCAACATTTCATCCCATAAAGCAAAACGGGTCTCACTGCTATACTATAGAACTTGCCCTTCAGCTTCATTGGTATATGCAGTGATTACTTAAAACTCTGGCTGCACATCTCCACTTCGCCCTACCCTTCTCTAATTTTATCTGCGATATTTTCTTCAATCTCTCCATTTTCCTGGATCTTCGACCCAAGAAATTGAAAGTGCGCTCGTTTTGGTATTTTTTGGCCGTCAATCTTAACTACTTCTTCGTCTCTACTCCTATTATTATTACTAAACTTGCATTCTATATATTCTATCTTAGTTTGATTAATTTTAAAATCTTTAGATTCTAGAGCATCCCTCCAAATTTTTTAGCTTTGAGTTACAATGTGAATCTCTCTTGGGCCCTTCATGTACAATTTTTAACCAAAAAATTGTCTCGTTGTGGGCATGTTCTGTATGGACTTGCTCGCCATATATGTACATCCCTGTTTATATACCACAAAGACAAAAGCATTGATGTCCGTGCATATATGCACAGCCACCCACTGATGCATGTGTTTGAACCAGTGTTTTAAAAGTTGGCGAGTCGCAACGGACTCGGCCGAGTTGGCACTGGAATCGGTAACCCCATGCCGATTACTGTGTAAAACTAGGAACCGCCCCGTTCTAGAGTAGAATTGCCGGTTCTGAATAGTGAACCGCTCGTGTGATGTCATAAACCGGCGAGAACCGCCCCCTGTACGGCCGTATGACGTCATAGATAGGCTGTGGCTGACGTCACAATGCTGTGTGTGTGTAGAAATCTCACATTGTGAGCTCGTGCTTTGAACGTGGTTCCCGTCTCAAGCTATTCTTCACGAGCAAGGCTATTGCAATTCTTTATATACGCATTGTTCGTCCCACCTCTCTTCGATGTGGGACAATTTTCAATGCCCAACGTTGAGATCTTACTTTAATATATTGAATTATTATTGAAAAAGATACAATATGCGGCGGCGTGGTAAGTTGGTTATCACGTTGGATCCTCATTAGGAGGTCTCAGGTTCGAGCCTTTGGGTTGTGCTGTGTTTAACGTTTTACTTTTGTGTTTTACTTTTGTTTTAAATAATGTCATAAAAAATAATATAAAGAAAATAATGTTATAAAAAAAAAATAAAGAGGAAGAAAATAATGTCATTAAAAAAAAAAGAGGAAAAAAAGCGTTTTATTTTTATCTTCCAAAAAAAATATAGGGAAAAAAATAATGTCATCAAAAAAATAAAAGGAAAAAGTAAAATAAAAGATAATACAACAAGCATTTCTTGTCAAAAAAACAATTTATCTTCCAAACAAAATAAAAAGAAAAATAAAATAAAAGATAATACAACAATTTGAGATTTTAGTGGTCATTTTTTCATCGATTTAATCCATTCTTTATTGTAGTCCATGTATGATTATATATTTATCTATGATGATTCTATGATTTTTCTTTTATGTGATGCAAATTTAATGGTTAACATAAGTTCATATAGGGAAAGAACATCGCAATATTCATAAATTGATGAAAAAAATGAAAGTTAATAATGTAGTTACCCCATTTTTTATTGGATTCCTAAAAAACAAGATTTATAATGAAATTTAATAAGTTTTTTGGATTTTTTTAAGGCTTAATTGGACCGATTCGGTCGATTCCCAATCCGGATCGCTGATTCAGCGATCCGGATGGGTTTTGGGGAGATTGATCTGGGGCACCGATCCGTTTTTTAAACCACTGGTTTGAACACATGCACTCTCACAGCCACCCACCGGTGAGAAATCTTAGGATTTTGTTTTCTACTTCAGATTGAGTGATGTTATTTTGACTTGGTTGTCATCTAGCATGGAATGACTTCTGAAACTTCTAGTGGTTATTGGGATTAAGTGTGTTGTATGGCAGTCCTGCACCCGATTTGTGACACCATGGTTCTGGAATGGAACTGTGGGTGGAATGTGCTCCCATGAATTTGGGATCTTGATCCCAACGCTGGCGGGATTTAGATGCCATCAAGCTGCTGAAACGTATATGATGGCAATCCCATAACTCCTTAGATAGTGATCCTAAGGCTATGACACTTGAAAGGAGTTCCCATATATTTTCCGCTAGTGACCGCATTCTGGTTGCTATGTATCTTAATCCTTGAAGGATTAGAGGATTAGACATTTTCTTATTGGGATTGCTCGTGTTTGATGATGGTGTGGTTTAGCCATCTCTCTCTCTCTCTCTCTCACACACACACACACACACACACACATCCAATCTGCACAAGTGAGGCCTTGGTCTATTTGGTGCACCCTCTTTACGATGCGTCCTTCTGCCTATGTGAACCAGATTTTACAAATGCTATGTCAGGAGTTTTAGCGTTTATGTTAGCCCTCTCCATCATCTCTTCTGCCCTATGGCTTCACACTCCCTCTCTCTCCATCCCCTTTACTTAGAACCTTCACCTCCTTCGCTTCTCTTGTTCTCCTTGCACTTTTTTGTTTCCTATACTCTTTGCCCCTAATTTGAGAGATGAGATGCAGGGAAGGGGGAAGGTTGGATGGTCAAGCAAAACCATATCACACAGAGAGACAAACGTGTTGGTCAGCCTGTGTTTGTTATTGGGACAAACATCAATGGTTCAAACACTTGACTGCCTTACATAAACAGGTCTTTAACAAAATGACCACCTTTTCCATTTTGCTTTCCAGGCTTAGGTTTTAAGTTAGTTTCTATTTTCTTTGGTGTTCGATGTTAATGCCTCTGTATTTGCAAGCTGCTTATAATTGGTTAGGGAACTGTTCCAAAACAAACTTGCTGTCACCGATCCAAAATGAAAATCAATGAAGTTCAATGCTAGTTATCTTTTATGCTGGTTATCCATGTCTAATCTTTATGTTTTAGGAATGGAGTGTTTAGACATGTTGGCTCTGTGTCTTTGTTAGCATGTTATTCCTAAAAGACGGAAGTTGTGCAATGTTCTTGTTGGTATACTTGCTGACTCATAAAATACTGCTGATAAAATAAAATTTCAAAGCGAAGTCTTGGAAGTTATTAAAGTTCAAATTGTTGTTGGAACATTTTTTATTTGCAAATGTTATTGGGAATATCTCGAAAATAATAATAATGAGGCACAGTACCCTGTAACACATTGAAAAGGTCACATGCAAAGATCTCACAAAAATGTTTCCTACTGAATTTAACATGCAATCAGTATCTAGTGGAGCCCTTTTGTAATTCAGTGTAGTGGTCACTAATGCCCTGGGTTGAGTGTTGTAATATGATGGGATGCATTGTGGAGTTTCAAATTTAATCCTGTGGCTTTTTAGTATTTATATCTTAATGAATCTGTTGCACTTCATTCTACTAGCTAATTGTAGCATTCTATTGTAGGATTACATTAATTATTCATGTGGGTTTCCCTTTGGGATACTTCTTAAACATATGTGTGGCATTAACAGCTTGGGTTAATCGCTTTGCCAATGCTGGTGATGCTGCTATGGAGGTTGCTGGAAATACGGCATTACGGGTAAAATCTCTTTCTAATGTTTTTGATTATGGAAATGCTTGCCTTGGAATGTCTAAATGTTATGTAAATGTGAAATTTCAGGACATTATAATTGTTTCGTAACTCAGTTCTTAAAGAGTTCTGTTACCTTTGTGTTCATGTAATTTGCTTTCCTGTGATTTGACATGCTGAATTTGTGGAGAAAGAATATAAATTTCTAAAAAAAAAAAGGAAACTAAATGGATAATGATGAAGCAGACATGCTGACAAATGAAAAGAAACGTACACCCCACTCATGAAGTGGTGATGAATTTGGGATTGTAGCCTGGACATTTTGTCTTAAGATGTTATTGTTTGGTGTTTTTGTTGCATTAACACCTCATGCTCAATACAGTTAGTCATTTGGAGAAAAATTATCAAATTTTTTGATTCATGTACATTTTAATACTTGTGACCTGTTTTCTTTCGAAGTTAAGTAGCGTATGTATTTTTTTTTTTTTTTAATGTTTAACCTTCTTAAATGAACTTATCAACCTTTTGGATATTGCTATTAGTATTCTAGTTCTATTGAAGAAGAAATTACTGAGTTTCGGAATGTTTTATCTAATCCTTTGTGAAATGCATTATGATGCAAATGGTTTGGGAGTATTTGCTTGTAGCTTGGCTTACATATTGGTACAATACCGTGATGTGGGACTTTCTACAGTGCAATGGAGCTTAAAATTACTTAATACTTATATTGTATGACATGCAGTACTGAGCTCGCTCTCTCCCTCTCAATCACACACACACGTGCGCAAGCGTGCTCTTGCTAATCCATGAGCGCCGCGCCCCCCTTGCACACATGCACTCACACACACAGAGACAGCAAAATACATACGAGAAATACTGGATTAATTATTGCTTTTGGAGGTGGAAGCAGGGGATCATTGCTTGCTAGGAGTTCCCATGTAATAAATATATAAAACAGGAGATTTGTTTTTTAAATGGAAGATCAATTGTTATTTTTTAATAATATTTAAATTTTAATTAACTTTAAAAACTATTTGTATACTTACAAATAAATTCCCTCAAATTTGGTGGGTCAAAATTCTACACCATTTGTGATCAAAGTTGGATCCGCCGTTCTCTACATTCAAAACGATTTTGGATGAATGTCAAAACTCTCTTTTTCATTAACGTGGATTTGAGAGTTTTATTTGCCTCTGAGAAATTTACAGAATGTGGATTTGAGTAATTTTTGTTTATTATTGATATAGAAATTTACAGAATGTGGATTTGAGTAATTTTTGTTTATTATTGATATAGAAATTTACAGAATGTGGATTTGAGTAATTTTTGTTTATTATTGATATAGATTTGTGGAGTTTTTGATTGACATGCATTTTATTTCTTCTTTCCTTAAAAGATTATCATAATATTGATGTATTTACCTGTTAACCAACACTTATTGAATTTGTAGATCCGCTCCCCTGGGGATAGAGTTCCCGGAGGAGGTTTGCCACCCCTTTTAGCAGATCCCAATAAGTAAGAGGTAAACCTTCTTAGAAAGGAAATTTACAAAATGGCCTTTTCCGATTAAGTACAATATAAGTGCATGACAAAGAATATTCTATCAATGGTGGATCTGTATTTGGGCATTTGAGAGCATGACATGTTTCTATGGAGGTGCAAGAGTCTAGGTTGGGTGATGTATTTCTCTCTGCAGTATTGCACGTGCTAATGCTTAGTTGGGGGTATTGAGTTGGGGTCTCTGTGGGACCCATGCTGTGTATTGGGCATGCAAGACTTTTGTAAAAATGCAATATCACCCACTCATGGGTGATATTGCATACCCCATTTTTCAAAGGGAAAAATTTATATAGAGCTGAGGCTCGAAACAATCAAATTGGAGCCTACCACAAAAATTTCACTAGAAGAGGTTGTTTTGATGCCCAAATATCCTCAAATTGATCATCTTGACATCAAGATGCATGGACATGAGAAAAAAATGGATTTCAAGTTTTGGAAATAGTGTATTTTGTAACGCATTTTTAGATCGTCAATTTTCAAGATTTTCAAGTTGTCATAGATCTGTCAATCTATACTTTTTTTGAAGTTTTAAACTTTATAAATAAAGATAAACTTATATTTTAAGGCTGTCACAAAGATTTCCAATACTGAAACCACATTTCTCAACACTATTTGAAGGTAGGCTCTAATTTGATTGTTTAGAGCCTAGGCTCCATCAAAATATGCTATTCTTAATGCTTTATCAACGGCATTAACAAATATTGAAGCTTTTAAACTACAACTGCTATTTTTAGCTTAATAATTGGCGCTACCAATGTATGTAGTAGATAACATCTCGGAGACCACTTCTCAATCATCTAAGCCAGAAGCTTACACAATTCCATCTTTATTTGCTAGATATCATCATTAGGCACTCCTCCGGAGATATTTTAATGGTGATACAGATTCTAAGTCTCCATGTAATTTCTGTGTTGAATCTCCATGACATGGTGTCAATGTGAAGCTCTATGATATTTAATTTCTGTTAGTTATTTCTAAAAATACAAATCAGCAAACTAGATTGGCTCCTTTATGTGGCTCATGAAGATGTGTTAGCGAAAATACTTAATGAAACAGCTAGAAAAAATTTTCTTCAGGGAGGGCGATGGCGACACCTTGTTATGGATGCTAATAATATAGTTGGACGGTTAAGTTTCAAATGCTAGGGCTTGGCCGATCTACAAGAAGATTGACATTCACTATGTTGGATTCTCAAAGGAAATCTGGGAGGCCAAACATCTGATGTCCAAACTTAAAGAACTTGTTCAGTTTAGGCCAGGCTTTCATGCTGAGTTAATGCAAGACTTCTCACATATGGAAGTATAAGCGTTCACTCAACAAATGCATGGCTATTATGCTTAGGCTTTGCTCTAGGCGTATGTTACAAGGTTTTCCTAACCTTGATAAGGCTAAAAAACATTAGAAACTCCATATGATGTTAACCTCCTTCCAATCACTTTTTACCTTTTCTCGGGTTAACATTTAACAGAGACAAATCCATTGCAGGCTAACAGATCTAGTTGAATATCCACATTACTTCACATTTATTTTGGGATCGTGGAATCATGTATTGTTCTACCACAGAGAATCTTTTGTGTGTCTCTTATTTCCTCGCATTAGCCCCTGAATTTCTAAATAAGCTGCAGTCTTGCTTGAACTCCTAAATATAAGCAAGGTAAAAGAGAAACCATTACAGTCTTTACATTTGATGATTAATCAACTCAAACCCATGTCACGTTATATTCCTTTTGCTTTTTATATCTTTTCTTTATTGGTTTGCTTCATAAAGTGCCTCTTTGTGATGTAATGGCGTATTTGGTTAATTACCAAATACTTGGCCCTGGTTATTATTTTGCAGCTAAGGCAAGCAAAGACAGAGATAGTATCTGCCAGCAAAGTTGCCTACCGCTTCCTTGCTACCATTACCTCTGGCTCGCAATCCTCTCCATCCCCTGACTCCTCTCCTAGTGCATCCACCTCTAACAGGGGAAGCCCTAGGTTCCAAGCCTCTTGGTTTAGGAACCTCCTCCCTGCTCCTGGAGTGAAATTATCAGGTAATCCTGAGATTCCAGACGACGATGATGGAAGACCTAGACAACAGACACCAGAACAACTTCAACAATCAGAAGAACACAATTTTCGTCGTACTTGACATGTTTTCATGAGATTTGTATTGTAAAATGTGTATTAGTCAAGAAACCATAGCTCATGAACAAGGATTCACTATCGGAACTGTAAAATCATTTTTCCTTGCATATTCTTTTGTGAGAAATTGAAATGTGTCCAATGATATGTTACATAGAGAGAGAGAGAGAGAGAGAGAGAGAGAGAGAGAGAGAGAGAGAGAGAGAGAGTAGGTAGGTAGGTAGGTAGTAGTAGTAGTAGTAGTAGTAGTGTAGTAGTCGTACGTTACGTTACGTTCGTACGTACGGTACGTACGACGTACGTACG